AAAATCAAATTAATATGAATTTAAAATAAAGTAGAATTGCTTAAAGCTGTAAGATTATATCTCAACATTAATATACACACTAATATAAAGTAGTACTCCATAATAACATGCATAATTTTAAATTTCCCCGAATGATTTTAGGAAGGATGATTTTTTCTTTTTAATTAAAAAAGGCACATAAATTACAATCGATAGGAAGCTGATCCAGTGAGTAACTTAGTTTTGCATAACCATCAATAAACGTCATCGAGAATTCATGAAAGACATATAACTTTACCTCCAATTAATTTAACCAGACTATATCTCTTTGGTTTTAAGTGGTAATTTAATTTTGCACATAAAAATCATATTAATTATGCTATCTAAAATAACATATACTTTAATATATGTTGGAAAAAAAAATTGAGACATATATTACCAGTTATACCATGATGATAATGTTTGATAGTACATAAGATTATATCATGATAGTATGATAGTATGACAGTGTATCATGATGGTGTAATACACTATAGTGTAGAATGGCGAAATTTTGGTGCATAACCCCTTTTAATCTGGCATGGATATCAAGGATTGCAATTATGGGTTTTCAATCTCCATCCAAACAGACATGCCTTATCCGTTTCACCTTTGATTTTTAAAAGATTGGGTTAAAAAATAATATTTAATTGAAATCTGTCAAAGAAAAGTTGAAATACAAGGATTATACACCAACATCAAACAAAACACTAGCTAGGTAACAATCTACCTCTAATATTCCATTCTTTTTTCTCTGCAACACATGTGATGGTAGAACAACGAGACCAAGTAATTTGAGTCAAAATCAAATTTATATGAACTAACATAAAGTAGAATTGAATAAAGCTGTAAGATTATATCTCAACACTTATATAAAGTAGTTCTCTATAATAACATGCTTAATTCTAAATTTCCATTGGATAATTTTAGGAAGGATGATTTGGCAACATGATGTTGGGTTGGAAAAGACACGTGGCAGTCAACATTCCAAAATTTTAGTATTTTCATTAAGAAAAGAGTTACAAAATTATTAACGATAACAGACAAATGACTAATATATTGATGTGTTACAAAAGATTTGACTAATACTTTATATTTCGAAAGGTTTGGCTAATAATTTGAAAAGTTAGAAATGTTTGACTACTAATTTTTATTTACCCAAAGACGTATGATGTATGTTCCTTTTTTATACTAGCCTATTACCCGGCCCGTTGGCCGGATTACTGTATGTTACCCACTTGTGGAATAAGAGAGAAAGCAAGTGAGAGTGAAGGGATTGGGATTCCACTTGATTAGGGCCGACCCACTAATCTGATTCTTTCCGACCTGCCCCAACCTAAAGGGTCAGAAAGAGTCAATAAGAAAATACGAACGGAGAGGATTAGTCATATACATGGTTGTCACGCTGGCCGGCGTCCCACTGGTTGAACCTGGTTCAACCTGTACCGGTCATAAAACCGGTATGACCGGCATGATCGATATACGAATCTCTAAGTAAAACGATCTTATATTAGTGAATTTATTTGATAAAAAGTAATTTATTATTTATTTTATGTGTTAAAAAGTTAAATGTTGATGTTATTTGTTGGATTCAAGTACAAATATTTAGGTATTGACGTTAAATGTCGTGCTTAAATATGAGTATTTGTAAATTATTTGTAATATTAACCGGCATGAACCGACACAAACTGGTATGTACCACCGGTCAAACCATTCCACTTGCTAAACCGGCACACTAGCACAAACCGGTTTGACAATTATATCTTGACTCTTCAGAAGTGGGTCAAACAGGATCAAGGTTGGGTGAGGGAAATTTTTAGCGCTAAGCAGAGTTCTGGGTTGAATAACTTTACTTAGGCCGAGAAATTGGTGCTGATGCAGACTGCAGTTTTTATTATACCATCATCAATCATCATTGAATTAGTCCTGGGCATCCCTCCCCATTGTCGGTCTGAATTCTAATGATGGCTTCGTTCCTTGCACCAGCTATATCAGCGAGTTGTCATCTCGAGCATGATTTGCCTATGTACAAATGATACAATCAGAGTATGAAACTGAATTCAAAGAAAAGGAAAAGAGAATTCTATCACATGCCAATAAATACACACATAATAGTTGAAGCTAAGTGAAAGTCATTACTCGCACATCAATTCTCAAAAATTACAACCTAAACAATGGCTAGAATGGCACTAAAACAACCAAGAATCGTGGACGAAACAACTTGTCAAATTAAATAATCCTTATACTGAAACTACCTTCTAACTTGAAATAAGACATGATCACAGTTCATAGCTCTCTTCTCACTATGAATTGGTTGCAGCTCGTCCTTATCACTGCCTCCCAAGCTCAATTCAAATAGAATAGAGACCGTTATGTAAGATAACCATATCCTTACTGATCATAATTCCTTTCTTCACTCCATTTTTGTCAGAGAAAAGAGTTACCCCCTCTTCTGCATTTCCCTTTCCCCCTCTCTTCTCCCTTTTCTTCACAAACCGATCCCTAAACCAGCAACAACAACACAAAAATAGCCTTCGCCTCTGCCATCTCCATCTACTGAACGCGTTGGTGGCAAGACATGACTGCAGAAGCAAAATTTTCTAAAATCAAACTAAATTTTTTGAAGGAGACTCAACCACGAAAAAAATAGTAAAGCAACAATGCTAATAGTTCATATGGTTGGTTTTGATGTTATACATTGCTTTTGTTCTGGTCTCCAGTATATCAACTGCAATAGAGATGTTTCCTCCAATCATCTTTAGTGCACGATTTAGAAGCAAGTCCTCCTGTTTGTGTCAAACGGAAACATTCATGGGTTCTTAACTCCCCTGTTAGTGTAAAAGCAGCAGCAAAGAAGTTTGACAACACAGCAAGCACCCAGGCAAAATGATACAATGCAGTAGGTGATATGTGTCTTGAAGGTTTTGAGTTACTAATGTTCATGTTAAAAATAAACATGAATTAAAATGGATTATTCTATTAAGCAAACATCTCCTCTAATCATACAAAGATCAGATATCCAATTCACAAACAATTAAGCCATAAAAAATCATCACAAAGCATTCAAACATTTAAGGACATTTCTGCAAAGGTACAACTTACATGTCTTTTTTCCAAGCCATTTCCATCAACATGCTAATAAATTTGCAATGCATAAAACAAACGGGCCAAAACTTGAAATTCAGCCTGTTTGACCGAGTCATGCCAAATTCTAATTATTCTTTACTTTTAAACTTTCTATTTGAAAATAAAAAATAGTGAAAGAAAAGAGACGACTACAATTCGCCATTTGCACATCACTTATTCGGGAATAAAACCATAGAAATTCAAAAGGAACTGAAAATGTTTAGGATCGTTATAATGTTTAAAATAACCAAATAGATCTTTATGTTTAGTTTTTTACTAACAAATACCAAACGGTTCCCTATAAAATACACTATAATTTGATCATTATGATATCAAATAATTATAAAATATATATTTGAAATGATAAAAACTGGACTCATTCTGTTGGTCGAGGTTGATCCATTGAATAACTTTAAAATACATTATATTTTAGCCACTAAGATAGAAAATAATAGCATAATATATATTATGCCAGAGAAATTAGTTTGTTTTAGAATGACAAACCAATGATGTTTATTTGTTTTACTTGATGGCCAAATCCCATGTAGGTCAGACCCATTCAACTCTTTTATTTTATGGTTAGCGGTTAGCCCATTAGATACCATGCATTAGTTTACTGTTAAATGTTTTATTTTTAACAATAAAAAGGAGTATTATTTTTGCCTTTCATATATATTTTATCACCACGGAGAAATAAAATGGTTTAAAGAAAAAAAATTGACACTCCTGGACCTGTTTAAATTCACATGTGTACGGTAAGTTGGCCCATTCCACAGAGGAAAGAGAAAAAAATTGACACTTCCTATTCTATCTTTCCTACAAACGCTCATGGAGCAGGGAATTGGAAATGGGGAGGGTTTTTTCCTGCTATTATATGTTTTTAATTTAAAAAGATAAAAAATGTGTTTAGTGTGATTGGTTATTATAGAGAAACCTGATGCAACTAGACTCATCATCAGGGGTGGGATACTATGCTAACCCCTAAAGGGGTAGTGATTTTCAACACCCCCTTTATGATTGGCCAATTTTATTTTCAATCATTGGCAAGTATTAATTAAACTGGTTTTTTATTTTTTTTAATCTTGTAATTTGGGGTCTCTCACCCACATTGGAAAGGGAAAGAATATGGGGAATCAGAAAAAAGCTCCCCCCCAAATGTGCAATTAATTGCCTTTTTTTCTTCCTTTCGTCTCCTTCTCTCTCCATTTGGGCCCTCTTTCCATTTTGATTTCATTTTAACCAGAACCCTCCTCTACTCTGAAACGACCAAAACCCTCCAGCGCCTTCCCCCACCACCATCCTCCTATCTCCAGCTGCCGCCATCCTGGGATCGCCTCTGACCTACCTTGTGGATTGCTCGCACCAGTGGAGTGGTACGTGTACCAGTGGAGTGGTATTTGTATCATTGAAGTGGTACTGCATTGTTGCTCCGTTATTGTTTATCATTGTTATGAAAAATATCATTGCACTGGTATTGTTCTCACTCTAACCTACCTTGTGGATTGCTCGCACCAGTGGAGTGGTACGTGTACCAGTGGAGTGGTACGTGTACCAGTGGAGTGGTACGTGTAATTAATGTACCAGTGAGAGAAATTAATTATGTAATTAATGGGGGTGATTTCGTTTTCCCCAGATTCTTTCTCTTTTCCAATGTGATGAGAGACCCCAAATTACAAGATTAAAAAAAAATAAAAAACCATTTTAATTAATACTTGCCAATGATTAAAAATAAAATTGGCCAATCATAAAGGGGGTGTCAAAAATCACTACCTTTAGGGTAGTCAACCCTCGGAATAAATTAGGGTTGTATCATTCCTCGCCTCTTGCGAGGGTTGGGTCGCAACACAAAAGCTAGAATGAAGAGGTTGAGAAAGTCTGATGCCGACAAAATTAGCCATCTTCCTGATGATGTGATACAACGCGTCCTCGCGTTCTTACCCGTAAAAGATGCGGCCAAAACTGCTACACTATCAAAGCAATGGCAGCGCAATTGGGGAGCAAATACTCAACTCGTGTTCGACGGCAGTTTCGGTCGAATCCCAGAAGAGGGAAACTATGCTTCGAATGAGAGCAAACTCATGTTTCAGATTTATAAAGCTCTGCTGGTTCGTGATGCACCCATAAAGAAATTCGTGCTTAAAATTCCTGGACTCGGGCGGCCTTCCCCTGACATCAACCTATTGGTTCACTTCCTCGCCAAGAAATCTGTTCAGGAACTCGCCCTGATCTTCAGTGACGATGAATTTAATGACGGCCACCCGAAGATCGGGCGCGAGATGCCTTCTGCTCTGTTTTCTGCTTGCCAACTAAAGTCTCTGAGGCTGCAGGATTGCGACATTTCTGCCGCGCCATCCTGCTTTCTGGGGTTTAGTAAGCTCACCCATCTCGAATTAACAAACGTAAATGTGGAATCTAGTTTCTATAGCGACTTCCTTCCCAAGTGCCCGCTTCTCCAAGATCTGAAGCTTTTTATATGCGACTCTGATGCTGTGGAATCCCATCTGAAGGCTGAATTGGTAACTCCTTCGCTCAGGGTGTTTGAATCCAATGTTTGGAATGTCTGCTTCAAGCATACCCCGCTTCTTTCAGCGGTATCTATCGCGCCAGTTGATGACCGAAAGTACTGTAAACAGAGCGACTTTGATGTGTATAACCCGGATATCGTAGCTGCATTTGCTTCTCTCCCTGCAATCCAGCAGTTAACTGTTGGGGCTGAGTTGCTGCAAGCAAATTTTGTATTCTGAAACCGCGGTTTATATGACACGGTCAATTCCTTTCCTAACATGTCTATCTTGTTTTTTAGGTTTGTTTTGCTCTCTAGTTCTTTGCCTCTGGTAATGTCCCCTTCATGCTTCCCACACATCTTCATCAACTGAAGGTCCTCAAACTGCGCAACATTTTACTGTATCGTTCGTTGGAAGCACGCGTTCTTCAATGTCTAATCATGAGTTCCCCCAACTTGCTCAAGCTCACCATAGAGGTTGGTTTAAAAGTGTTCTTAACTGAAGATTTTAGATGTGCAAAAATGTCATCAGAATGTCAGTATCATTGTCGATTCTATAGCCTGACTTAAAAATATTATGATGAATGCTGTTGTAGCCCGGATATGTCGCTTCGCTTCCACCAACAGAGGTTATTGACAGCTTACAGTTGTTGTTGGAAGCAGAGGATCATTCTACTGCAAGTTGTTTTCAGTGCCTTGAAGAGTTCAGGATTAGTGCAATAGATGGTACACAGGTTGAGTTGGACCTGTTGAGGTTTGTACTGGCCACCGCACCACAACTTCTGAGAATGTTCATCGAGCCAGCCAAAGAACTGGACCTTAGAAAGCGTCACAATTTATTGAAGGAGTTGATACGATTTGAGCGTGCTTCCAAACAAGCAGAGGTCGTATATATTTCGGATGACGAGGCTGACACTCTGTAGCTTGAGTCCTTCATGCCGTTTGGGTCATCTTCCATATGCATTCACTTGTTTGAAATTTCATGGTCAGGATCAATCCCTTGTTTCTGTAAATGCTGTGGGAATGTTTGTACTAGCTGCCGCGACATTACTTCGTTGGATCATTAAGCCGGATGGTTAATTGCACTCCTCAAAGTGTCTCGAATTCTTGAAGGAGGTTGATAGAATATAAGCGTGCATCCAAGGAAGCAAAGGTAATCTATATTTCTTGAAGGAGGTGACAGACTATAGGCATGGCTTCAATGAAGCAAAGGTAATCTATACTGGTAAGAACGAAGTTGACACTTTGGTACATCTTTTAGTACACTCGATCTTCTTATCTACGTCAAAATTTAACACTCGGTTGATACGTAAACATGGCTAGATGAATCATAGTAATTATGAAGGAAATTCTTTAGCATGGACTTGATAATCTGCTGTAGTTAGCATTTCCTATCCGCAGCGAATCGCACTGCACTGCAGTATCCTTCAAACCACATCAGTGCGAGAGAAATCATCCATGTTTCCCCGGCTGCGATGTGCTTCCATTCACGCTGCTTCCCGCAATAATATCTAATACATTTCAAACTACAGCGCATAAAATTCTCACACCACTTGATGAATTATCTGCACGTAATCAATCATCGAAAAAAGAAGATCGTAAAGAAACATCCAACGAACCTTTTGCGTTGTTGTGTATCTGAGCACCATGTACGGACTCTGCTAGCAGCTGCAGAGCCAACACCAGAATGAGAGCTGCAGCAGCAACTATAGTAAGGTATGAAGCCTTGTTCGCCATTGTTGTTCCCATAATTTGTTCTCGGCCACCTTATAGGCAGGCAGTTTTCACTTTGCGATCCTTTATAGCAGAAAAGCCCACCAAAAGGTTTGGAGTAGGAAACTTCTGCCCTGTTTCCTGGCTACAAGGCTATAAAATCATCTTATTTTTTTCTCAACGTGAACGTTTGTGCTGCTGCGGGAGGTCCTTTTTTCCCCCCTTTCCCATTAGTTAAAAGAGCTTTCTCATAAGGCGCAGTTTGAAAGCTGTATACCTTTTCGACTACTTGGGCATACGCAGTGATAGATACATGCATGTTTAGGTGTGTATCATGACACGCCTAAAATTTAGAAACACGATTTTTCAACCTCCGATAGTAGTTTGCATATGAGAAAGAAAATGTTTAAGTGCTAGTTGGACACCCTTAAAATCTGGGAAAAGGGATTATCCAACCTATCGTAGTAGTTTGCGTATTAGTACAAATAATAATTAGGGTTAATATTTTCGTATGGTCTGAACTTTGACCAAAATAAACATCCTGGCCAATCTTTTCGATCTATAACATCCTGGCCCGAACTATACACCAAAATAAACAATTTTGTCAAATCCGATGTTTGACCGTTAACTTGGACGGTCAAACGCGTTGACTAACAGTCAACGATCCACGTCACTGCCAAGTCAGCAAATTTAAATTAAAAAAATTCCACCTATTCCATTTTATTTCCTTACTCATTTTGGAGAAAAAAAATAATAATAAATCAACAAAACGCAGCACCCTGCCCTTGCCCTAACCCTACCTTATCCATATCGCTGCATCCCCATCCACAGGTTCCAGTTTCCACCCGCCGTTCTCACTTCTCGCCTTCTCCTTCCTTCATCGTCGAACCTCCCCAACTCTCCGACTAAAATGCAGCGGCGGGCGTTCTTCTGAGCCCGCCGCCGCCGCCACCGCCATCGATTACCACCCTTATCCCTTCTACCTCGCGAAGATTTTCCCCTTCCTCCCTCGCGATTTCTGCTCCGTCGTGATTTCTGCTTCTCTCTGTGCATCGATAGCGACTTGGTGAACAAGGACGACGAGGGGTCCACATTCCAAAGGGACCACAACCAACATAAATTCATCCCCACCAGCATCCCCACCAGCAACGTAAGCAATCAAATCCCTTTCTTCTCTCCATTTCCATTCTTTTTTTAATCCTCGATACATACAAGGATTAGGGCTTTCTATTAAACTAATGCTCGCGACCAGCATTTGTCGTGTTAAGAGCTGGAAATTGAGATTAAAGTAATGGAATTTGAGATTAAAGTAATGGAAATAGAGATTAAAGTAATTTCGTATCAATTTTTTTTGTCTTGGGCAGAATGGACGACATGGTTGAGCTTATTCTGCATCATGGAGGCGCTATGGATATGTCGGGGGGTGTTCCACAGTACGTTGGGGGGGTTGTCGATGTCGTCAATGTGAATCGTGATGTCTTGTCCTACTTCGAATTGACGAAGACTTTGACTGAAGATTTGGAGTATATTTCCGTCGAGAGGCTATGGTACTTGACACCTGGGGAAAGTATGGCGACTGGATTGCATGAAATTGTGTCGGATGTGGAGGTTTTAACTGGGTTGCTGCCTTTGGTTGGAACTGGAGATATAAAGGTGTACTTTGATGCAACAAGGGATCTCGGAGAGTTGGGTTATATGGGAGACAATTATGGCCATTTTCCTGAAGGGGAAGATGCATCTGGAGACAATTCAGCTGCACCTGAGTTTGTTCGGCTAGACGATGATGCTCAGACATCCGACGAGGAATACCATGAGATTAGAGCTGATGCTAGGAGAAGGAATAGAAGATTTATAGCAGATCTTGATGGTGAAGGTAGTTCAGTGAATCAATTGTTTGCGTGGGATGTCAACCATCATGCTGACTTTGCTTCGGATAGTGCTAGTATTGAGGGTGGAGCTGAAGCTGAAGCTGAAACTGTGGAGCTTGATGAGAGTTTGGAGATTGATGAGGGTATTGAAAGGGGTGCAGAACAAGTGAACGTAGAGGAGGAGATCAATGCAGAAGGATCAGTTGATACGGAGTATAGGGCCTCTGAGGATTCTGCCCATGTTAGAGGGAACATTGCTGAAGATGATGGTGCTACAAGCTTCCACAAGAGCTTGTGTTATAATCCCAAGTGTGATCATGTCACTTTGAAGTTCAAAACACATATGCGGTTTTTAGATGGTAATCAATTTAAAACTGCTGTTATGAAGAATGCAATTAATATGGGAGCTGATATTAGACAGTAGTCTCTGACCAACAAAAGGTATGCATTCATACTTGGTTAATATACATTCACTTGTTATAATTCTGCAATTGACTTTATGTGTTTACTTGTGGAACTTGCAGGGCCTGGTGGAAGCGCTAAATGACTGTATGCCTTCTGCAGAACATCGAAAGTGTGCTCGTCATGTCCATGCGCACTTCAGAGAAAAACACAAGTCAGCTATAGCTTCTGATCTATACTGGGAGGCGGTGTATGCATTAAATGAACCTGATTGGAGGGCTGCTGTTGATAAATTGAAGCAACTTGGGGAGGGTGCTGATACAGACTTCATGGCCATGGAACCAACAAGGTTCTGTAGAGTCTTCATGCAGACTTTCTCCAAAAGTGACTCAGTAGAAAGCAACATTTGTGAGTCTTTCAACAACTGGATCTTGCGGTTTAGGTCGTTGAGACCAATTGCAATGTTGGAGGGTATCCGAGTGGCTGTAATGACACGAATTGTCAAGAACAGAAGAATGATGCAGCGTTGGAGTGATAAATTTCCACCAGTGGTTAGGGGAAAACTAGAGAAGGCAAAGCATTTGGCACGAATGTGCACCAGCCGCCCTTCTACAAAAGATAAGCATGAGGTAACCATAGGAGACAAGGGGATTGTGGTTAACATCAAGAAGGGTACCTGCATATGTGGTTTCTGGTTGCTAAATGGAATACCATGCTGCCATGCCTTTGCTGCCATAACTTACTTGCGAGGGAAACCGGAGGATTTTGTCGATGAGTACTTCTTGATGAATCGAGTAAAATGTGCCTACATGCACCCTATCCCACCATCAGAGGGTCGACAAGCATGGCTTCCAGTGGAAGGATATAAGGTATATCCACCACAAATTCGTCGGATGCCTGGATGTCCAAAAACTAAAAGGAAGAGGGAGACGTGGGAGGTAACCAGGAAAGCATCAAGAGATGGAATTGGGAAAATTGCTACTCGACACAGCCTTGTGATCACTTGCACCAACTGTGGAAAAGATGGTCACAACAAAAGAACCTGCAAGAATCCAAGGAAGCCACCAGAACCTCCAAAAAAGAAGTCAAGAGCAGCACAACCTAGGCCACAAGGAAATGTAACTGCTGCCCAAAACACAGCCAACGAGGTAATTGCAGTTTTAAATTAAGCGCTCTTTAATATCTTGTTTTCATTTCGTTAATGGTGATTCGTATGAATTCAGCCCAAGCAAAGGAAGAAGAACAGATGCTTAAAGTGTCAATCAGAGTATCATAACGCCAGAAGATGTCCTATGAATGTTGGTATTCAGGTACAGTGTGAATGGTGATTGAATTTATGTGTGAATCTGTGAATGTATGGTGATTGAATTTATGTGTGAATCTGTGAATGTTTATATAGGCTCCTCATGTTGGATCATCCAGTAGGCACGTAACAGATAGGGAAATGAGGATGGCAATGCGCGGAATTGGAACTTATATTGATGAGAACACAGGCAACATGTATGCTAGGGTAAGAGGCTCATGTTGGATCATCTCTCATGTTGGATCATCTACTGTCTTAACTAGTAAGAGGCTAATTCGTTGTTTTTTTGGCAGATGAGTAATAGGGTTCCAGGGGCTGCTGGACATGTGCAAGCTACTGCACCAGATGTGCCTGCTGTAGGTGCTACACACCCGCCTGCTACTCAGCCAGAGACACCTTAGGCACCTTAGGGAAGCTAGAAGAACTCCACACTTTTGTAATTTTGTACATGGTTGCACATGTTTTAGATGTGGAGTAGTAGGAAGTAGGAACATATTTTGTACATGCTAGGACATGTAGAAAGCTTCGAGTCACTCTTTTGCTAGGTACTCAGAATCCAAACTTATGGCACACCAACGATTCTGCCTTATTTTGTACATGCTAGGACATGTTAAAATGATGGTGTGCCCAAGTTTGG